GCACACTCCAGGGGCTCTCTGTGATTCAGCCCCTAACACCATGGTCTCTAAAGGCCAAGAAATCCATCACTATGGTCAATTGCCTCCAGTGCTTTTTTTAATTCTTACATTGTTCTGGCTGATATATGGAGGAGGCTAAAAGGCAATACCTTAACTTCCGATCTTGCGACATCCTCCTATTTGTCCTGAAAACCAAATTCCAAGCTAGTTTCTTTATTTCTGTCCTCAGCTCTTCATCCGCATACCCTGCTGCTGAGTGCTGAGTCCGAGAGTTCGAAGGCGATTTTCTCCTAGACATCTGACTCAAGTTTTGTGTCACCAGTTACCACCTTACCTTCACCCCGAGACACATCTGTCCCGATTCTAGGCATCGAAAGGGCCTTGTCCAAATGCCCTTCCGGTCATGCGAATCATGACAGTCAGCAAGCCCGGGGAGGGACAGACGCAGAAAGAACAAATGTGAGCGGACCCAGGTCCACGCTCAGGGGCCGTAATTTGCAGACCTCTGAGCCTCCGCTCAGGCAGGTTCACGACGGCGCTGTAAGGCTGTGTATCCACAGGTTTGTTACCTGCAGCGAATGGCGAATCAGTGTGGAAGATGTCATGACACCTTACGATGCCCCGGGGGAGAGTAATTCCTAGACTTCGGGAGAATCAACTCTGGGGCTGCTTGGTTGACCCCAGAGCTCACAAGAGCAGCCCTGGGGCATCTTCTCCACTGAGGAGCTCAGAGCATTTAAACTTGAGGAAGTCCCTCCAGCTGGGGACCTGGGCAGGCAGTGTCTGAGCCTGGGGAGAGGAAGCACAGTCCTTGGAAGCCAGGTAAGGGAAGAGGCTGGAGTCCCCCCGGCAGAGTGGCCACTGTCTTTCTCTTTGATGGATCTTACTGCTTGTTGGTAGAGGACTTAGGCTTGGCAAACTGACTTAGGTAGGAAGGGAGATGTGGCACGCGTAAATGACAATTCCAGGTTGACTCTGTCAAGCTTCTAGAGTTGCTAAAAACGCAGTTTATTGAATTACGAGACCAGTCAGGTTGTGTGAGTACAGTTAACAAACCTAGTGGGCCTGCCTACCAGCACGCAGACTTTTCTGCATCGCAGAGCGACTTGTTTCCTGCCCTCTTGCCTCCCCCCGCCAACAGTTGGTGACCCCACGGAGAAGCGCCAGCCCCTCTGCATTTCTCTGCATCTGGAAGTCCTGGAAGTGTGTTCTCCTGAGGTTTGGGAGTCGGCATGGCGACATGTGTGTCTTCACCTCCTTCTCGGCAGGATGTCCTGGGCACAGGTGGCGTGGGCCCTTCCACTTCCCTTCTCTTGCTGCCAGGACCTCAGAGATCCTGGGGGCATGGCACTGTCCCACGCAGAAGCAGGAGAGGCCGGCTTCCCTCGGGATTACGTGAATTTAGGTGAATGCTTTAAATCATTGGGCGGGGAGAGGAGACCAAACTATGAAAACATTCGTAGAGCTTTGAGGAAAATGAGGAGCGAGGTTATGTGAGGTGAAGGTAGGTGGGCACGCATCGAGACAGGAGAGAGGTGAGAGAAGAGGGGGACCCTTCCTCGCTACCCAGGCTCTCCCAGGGCTCGGAGTGACACCCCCTCCCCCTGCCCTAATCCCCCATTAAGGCTGCTCTGAGTTTGTTATGACAGCGGCTGAAGGCGGCTGAATTGCTGTTTGCTGTGTCTGCTAATTGGGCTGAAGGGCTGGAATCTGGACCCTGAAAGGGGCCATTGTTGCTGCTTCCCTTCTGCAGCTGCCTCCCGGGGGACCTTCTGGGTGAAGGGGAGCAGCACGCCCTCAGGGGCATTGCACCCATTCCCCGTCTGTGCACAGGGACTGGGCCGGGAAGACAGCCCTTCTCGTGGCCTTGGGGTGCTTTGAGCTTCCACAGCACAGGAAAGACAAGCCCAGCACCTGAGCCGTCGGGTCATCGGGAGCTCCAGGAGAGGGGTCACATGCTGGTCCTCGTCCCTGTTCACTCCCTTCTCCTCAAGGGGCCCTCGCTTTGCCTCTACCTCCACCTGACCAGCCTTAACCCCCTGCCCTTCCTACATCTGCTTCCTGCCCGGCCGGTGATTTTCAGCCTGGTTATGCACTAAACTCACCTGAGTGCTTGAAAAAAATACCGCTGTTTGGGTCCAGCGCCGGACCAGGGAAGTCAGAGCATCTGGGAAAGAGGCCGAGGCCTCGGTATCATTTAAAAGCTCCCTGTGCGGCTAGGGTTAAGAACCACTGATAGATGGGCTTATCTCTCTGCCTGGGACACGCACACACATACGGAGGTGCGCGTGCACGCGCGCGCGCGCACACACACACACACACACCCTTTCCCATCTCGCTTTCCTCCCACGCTCCTGGCGGGTTGTGTATTTTGACCTGTGTGTTCCCTCGTCTTCATTATAACTCCTTGTAGCAGCCCTAACATTTAGGATGGAATGGAGAGGTCTGCGCCCTGCCAACCGTCTCGACCTGTGCTCTTCCCCGAGGGCGGGCACCATGACTCTACCTCTCCGTGAGTTTCTAAATAGGACCCAGATGAGGACTGAGCTAATCCAGGACGAAGGGGTGGGAGGTTCAGAGTTCCCTGGCTTTTGTGTTCTGCCTCCCCCAAAGTAGCACTGGCAGTTTGGAGAGCTTCGGAGAGGAGAGACTTTCGTCAGGAATACATCTGCCCCTTGCCTGGCTGTTTCCAAATGCCTCTGCTTCTTCTCTCGCCTCTAGCTTCCCACCTTGGCGGCCGCGTGCTGCACCCCGCCCCCTTTCCTGCGCACGAGCGTCAGAGCCGCCTCCAGCACCACGGACAGCTCCGGGGCGGTGAGTGAGCCGGCTGTGCCGGTCCCTCTGCGGGGGTGAGGAGGGCCCTCCTGTCTGCACGCGCACACACCAAAGACTCGCTGGCAGTTGTTTGCAGGCAGCAGTGGAGTCTCAGGGAGAGGAAAAGGCTGAGGGCAGCTGGCGTTCCAGGGCCAGAAAATTGGGTTTGTCCGTCTTGGGGAGTCCGGACGGGAGGGGCTGCTCCAGCAGTGAGCAGGGTGAGGGCCAGCGTGCAGGAAAGACTCAGCCTAAGTTCTTATGAGACACGGAGTGCACGGATGAGGCCGAGCCTGAGATGTCCTCGGCCCTGCATCCCTCATCTTCCAGATCTCAGGAGAGTGGCAGAGGTGTGGCCAACGCCACTCAGCCGGCCAGTGGAAATACCAGCCCCTGCCGGTCCAGGCTCCTGAGCTCCAGCCTGGCCCACCTATTGTGTCCGATGCCTCCTTCAGGCGTCTCCCTGCCTGAGCTGGGCGGAACAGGCCTAGAGCTGGGAGGGAGAGTTCCCGGGGTGATCCCCCACGAAAAAGGACGGGGTGCATGTCTGGGCATGTGAGGTGTTCACACGAGCCAGCGAGGCGTGCGGCCGACTGCTGTCTCTGTGTGAGGGGCTTGGAGGGGAGGCCTCAGGGAGAAGCGCGAGGAGGGCACACCTAGCAGTAGCTGGCGAGCCCGTGGGAGAAAAGGCAAGGGGGCCACCATCTGCCAGGGCACAGAGGCCAGTGGCTGGCCACGAGGAGTCTCCAGAGGCCAGCAAGAGTCACGCAAACTGGAACGGGGCCTGGGAAAGGCCCTTCTGTGTGCCCGGGCCTGCTCCCCCAGCACTGCGAGGCCAGACACAAAGGGACCATTCTCTCTAGGATTTGATGCTGCCATCTCCGGCTGGCAGTGCCAGGTGGTGGGGGCATCAGGGGGTGTCAACCTATTACCCCCCCCAACTCCTAGGTCCTCTGGGGCTGGATGTTGGGGAGGTGGGTGTTCCATGCCATGTTGCCATGGTAACCACCCCAACCCCCACTTCCCAAAGCACAAAGAGAGACAGCTCTCACCCCCACTCCCAGGAAGAACCTGGGTCTGGTTGGGAATCTTCCCTGGGGAATCCTCTTTCTGATGCGGGAACCAAGGCCCGCCCGGAGGGACGCTTCCGCCATCAGCGGCCCACGCAGGCAGGGTGGCCGGCGCACCCAGCCTCCGGCCCGGCTGTGCAAGCGGGCGCGGGTCCCTTTCACTCAGGCCTGTCCCCCCCCAAGCTCTCCTGTCCCTCACCTACAGCCAAGGCTGCCCTGGGCCTTCTCAGCTGCAGCGACGAGGCCTTGACCCCCTACTCTCTCCCAGAAGCAAGGGATCCCCACTACCCCCAGCAAGCCGCCAGGCTGTGGGAACGGAGAGGAGGGGGTCACTCCTGCCACCCTCCATCTGCACCCCTCCGCCATTACTCATTAAGCATTCTGCCCCCTCCTTCCGCTCGTTAAGCCTTATTTGCATACATTTGCATAATACCGCTCATTTGCATTCCAGGAGGCTCGTGGTAGGAGCCAGGAATAAAGGGGAGGGGGACCGAAGAAGAGAGAAAAGGGGAGAGGTCTTGTTTTCATCCGAGGGTGTGCGCGGTGGGGCAGGGGGCAGGAAGGGGACAGGAATAAAAGCTCACACTACTTCCTTTCTTCCCCTCCGCCCGCCCTCCCTGAGCCACACTCGGATGCCACAGAGGTGCCAAGGGGCCGGCTCCTCCGTCCTTTTTTGTCTTGCTTCCTCCGGCCTTGGCTCCCCAGCCCGGCCCCCCAGCTTGCCGGGCTCGGCTCGGGAAGGAGGCGAGGCTGTGGGAACGGAAGCCGAGGCAGAGGGGCGCCATCTTAGGTGGCTGGCGCCTGTGAAATGGCGCCAGTGACAGGTGCGGGCTGAGCGCCAGCCCTGGTCAGTGGACACGGGGAGGCGGGATGGCGAGGACTTTCCGGCTGGTGGGGAGCGTTGCCGAGCCTTCCAGGGTGCAGCTGGGCGAGAAGGAAGGGGAGCCAGAGCCGGGCCTGCCCCGGGAAGCGGCAGGGAGGCCGGCCAGGCCCAGACCCGCAGAGGACAGTGCGTGATGGGAGCTGGGGAGCCGGACGCGGGGGCCTCGGCAGGAGGGGCAGGGCGGCAGGGGCGGCGGGGTCT